AAATCCAACACCCCTTCATGATAAAAGTCCTGAAGTGATCAGGGATAACAGGAACATACCTAAACACAATAACTAAATGGAGAGAAACTCAATACAATTCCTCTAAAATCAGGAACAAGACAAGGCTGTCCACTCTCTCCATATCTCTTCAGCATTGTACTTGAAGTTCTAGCTAGAACAATAAGACAACAAAAGGAGATCAAGGGTATACGAATTGGAAAGGAAGAGGTAAAACTTTCACTATTTGCAGATTATAGTCTACATAAGTGACCCAAAGAATTCTACCAGGGAACTCCTACAGCTGATAAACACCTTCAGTAAAGTGGCAGTATGCAAGATTAACTAAAAAAATCAGTAGCTCTCCTATGTATGTATGATAAACAGGTAGAGAAAGAAATCAGAGAATCATCATCCTTTACAATAACCACAAACAACATAAAATATCTTGGGGTAACTCTAATCAAACAGGTGAAAGACCTATATGACAGGAATTTTGAGTCTTTAAAGAAAGAATTTAAACAAGATACCAGAAAATGAAAAGATCTCCCATGCTCTTGGATAGGTAGGATCAACATAGTAAAAATTACAATCTTGCCAAGAGCAATCTACAGATTCAGTACAATCTCCATCAAAATACTGGCACAATTCTTCACAGAACCTGAAAGAACAATAATCAATTTTATATTAAAAAAAACAAAAGACCCAAGATAGCCAAAACAACCCTGTACAATAAAGTAACTTCTGGAGGCATCACCATCCCTGACTTCAAACTCTGTTATAGAGCTATAGTCCTGAAAACAGCTTGGTATTACCACAAAAATAGACAGATAGACCAATGGAATCAAATTGATAACCGTGATATTAACCCACAGATGTATGAACATCTGATCTTTGGCAACGAAGCTAAAAATATACAATGGAAAAAAGAAAGCATCTTCAACACATGGTGCCGGCATAACTGGATACAGACATGTAGAAGATTGCAGATAGATGCATATCTATCACCATGCAGAAAATTTAAGTCCAAATGGCTCAATGAATTCCACATAAATTCAGCCACACTGAACCTCTTAGAAGAGAATGTGGGAGGTACCCTTGAATGAATTGGCACAGGAAACCACTCCCTGAACATAATGCCAGTAGTGAAGACACTGAAATTGACAATTAATAAATGAGACCCCCTGAAACTGAGAAGTTTCTGTAAAGCAAAAGACACAGTCAACAAGACAAAATGGCAGTCCACAAAATGGGAAAAGATCTTCACCAAGCCCACATCTGACTGAGGTCTGATTTCCAAAATATACAAAAAACTCAAGAAGCTATTCACCAAAACACCAAATAATTCAATTAAAAAGTGGGGTAGAGAACTGGTGTTGGTGGTGCACGCCTTTAATCCCAGCACTTGGGAGGCAGAGGCAGGTGGATCTCTGTGAGTTCGAGGCCAGCCTGGTCTACAGAGTGAGTTCCAGGACAGCCTCCAAAACAATACAGAGAAACCCTGTCTCGAAAAACAAACAAAAAAAGAATCTAAACAGTTAATTCTTAATAGAGGAATCTAAAATGGCTAAGAGACACTTAAGAAATTGCTCAATATCCTTAATCATCAGGGAAATGCAAATCAAAACAGCTCTGAGATACCATCTTACACCCATCAGAATGGCTAAAATAAAAAATACCAATGACAGTTTATGTTGGAGTGGCTATGGAGAAGGGGGTATGCTTCTCTATTGGTGGTGGTAGTGCAAACTTGTACAGCCACTTTGGAAATCAGTATGGTGTTTTCCCCAGAATATGGGAACTAGTCTATCTTAAGGTTCAGCAATTCCACTCTTAGGCATATACCCAAGGATGCATATTCATACAGCAAGGGCATTTGTTCATAGGGACATTATTTGTAATAACCAGAGCCTGGAACCAACCTAGATGTCCTTCAACTGAAGAGTGGATATAGAAAAGGTGGTATATTTACACAACGGAGTACTACTCAGTGGAAAAAAAACAATGAAATCTTGAAATTTTCAGGCAAATGGATGGTAGGAGAAACCATCCTAAGTGAGGTAACCAAGTCACAGAAAGACAAGTATGGTGTGTACTCACTCATATATGTATATTAGACATAAATCAAAGGATTTCAACCTACAATCCACCACTCCAGAGAAGCTAGGTAACAAGGACGACTGTAAGAGAGACATACATGGTCCCCCAGTGAGGGGGAAAGGGACAAGAGTCTCTGATCAAATTGGAAAAAATGGGGTAGGCAGTAGGAGAAAGAGGAGGGGAAGAGGGGGGAGGAGAACATGAGGGATCAGGAAGATTTAGTGGGGAGATCGATAGAGGAGAACAAGAAAAGAGACACATAAATAGAGGGAGGCACTATAGGTTTAGAGAAATCTGGCACCAGGGATTTTTACAGAGATCCACAAGGATGACCCCAACTAGGAATCTATGCAACAGTGGAGAGGCTACCTTAAATGCCATTCCCCTATATTGAGAATTATGACTACCCTAAATGCCATCCTAGAGCCTTCATCCAGTTGCTGATGGAAACAGAAGCAGAGATCCACAGCTAAGCACTGATCCCAAATGTTGGAATCCAGTTTCAGAGAGGGAGGAGTGATGAACAAGGGGTCAAGGCCACACTGTAAAAACCTTTAGAAACAGGTGACCTGAGCAAGTGGGAACTCATGTACCTCAGTCTGACATCTGGGGAACCAACATAGGACCTAGGACCAAGCCAGGCCCCATGAACATGGATATCAGCTAAGAGCACTGGGCAATCTATGGAACCTTTCTCAGTGGAACCAGGATGTATCCTTAGTGCACAAATGGACTTGGGGAACCCATTTCCCATGGGGGGATACTCTCTTAGCCTAGATATACATGGCAGGGCCTAGGCCCTTCTCCAAATGACTTGACAGATTTTGATGATCCCTCATGGAAGGCCTCACCCTCCCTGGAGAGTGGATGGGGGATGGGTTGGAGGGTCGGTGGGGAGCATGGAAGGATGGGAGGGAGAGGGAACTGGGATTGATATGTAAAATAAGATTCTTTCTAATTTAAATAAAATCTGTAATAAAAAGATATGCCTATAAAAGTACAAGAAGTTTACAGAATAGCAAATAAATGGAACCACAAAATGAAGTCACCCCTTACATAATAGTGAGAACACTAAGCATACAGAACAAGGAAAGAATAACAAAAGCTACAAGGGGAAAAGGTCAGGTAACACATAAAGGCCGACCTATCCCTCATTCTCACTTCCCCCTTCTCTCTTCCTGTCCCCCTCTTTCTGGCTCCTCAGTCTTCCAACAGTCTATGGCTAATCCTGGTCAGCTAATCACTGAGTTCATCCTAAATTCAAGGTGGCTTTATTGATACAGTGGGGTGGCAGTGAAAACAATTGTCCTGCAATAGGGCTGAGGTCTAGCTGCTCAGAAAGACAGTAGGATTATTCTTCTCCAGGCAAGCCTTAATGCTGGGTCAACTGGCCGCGTCCGTATAATTTTATTTCACCCGAGAGCTGCCTTTCATGTCTTAATAATTGTCTCTTTTCCTTTTCTGTTGCTGTGTCAAAACACAGTGACCATGGCTACTTCTTAAGGATTGTGTTTCATTGGACTTATAGTTTCAGAGGGTCAGAGTCCATGACTGGGTGTTGTGGAATACAGAACTATGTAAAGATGTGCTATGCTTGTTTATGCTGCAGACTATTACTTTAACTGCGTAAAGGTGTGTTGCATTTGCTTTAGCTGCCTCTGTTAACCGTGTAAAGTTGTGTTACCACTGTTTGTGCTGCATGCTTAATTATGTAAAGATGTGTTGCTTTAGTTTCACCTTGCCTGCTTAGGGCATCTGATCCACCTAATAAAGAGCTAGGCAGAGAAAGGATATGCAGGGCTGGCAGGGAGAGAGGGTAAATAGGAGGAAGACATCTAGACTCAAGAGGAAGAATGAGAGAAGGAAAAGAGATGAGAGAATTAGGGAGATGCCTGGGATGGCCAGGCAACCACCAGCCAGCAGACACAAGTAGTAGTGAAAGGAAGATAAAAAGGCCCACGTTAAAAGGTAGATAAATAGTAACAGGTTAATTTACATTTAAAGAGTTAGCCAGAGGTCTAAGCTAGGGCAAGCATTCAAAACTAGTAATAAGTCTCTGTTTCACGATTTTAGAGTTGGTTGGTAGCCTAAAAGAAAAAACCTGGTATCATTGGGTCAAGGGCAGGGTGGAAGGAACAGCTCAGAGTTCACATCTGATCCATAAGCAGGAAGTAACAGGGCAAATTGGGAATGGCTCTTGAGAATCTTTTTTGTTTTTTGTATTTACGAGACAGGGTTTCTCTCTATTGTTATGGAGGCTGTTCGGCTTGAGAATCTTTTGAAATTTCAATTCTTGCCCCAGGGACACAGCACCTCCAACAAGGCCATGCCTCTAATTCATTCCCAAAAATTTTACCAACTAGGAACAAGAAATCAAACATATGAGTCTATTGGGGTCGTTTTCATTGCAACCACCAAAATAATGGAGAGTCAGGGAGGTGTGCAGAACCCTCAGGAGGATGGAAAGCAGAAGGGAAAAACAGGACATAGGGGTCAGGGTGTTGCAGGGTGATACCATAGGGGCCTGTGGCTGCAGAACACACTCCTGTGTCCAGTTCTGCTTGGAAGACAGGTTGATTGCTGCTCCTGGAACTGGAGGTTCTCAGAGGGAAGAGAAGATGTGACGTTTTTGTTTTTGTTTTTTTGTGTTTTTTTTTTTTGTTGGGAACATGGCCATGCACAGGGAGCCTGGGAAGTCTGGAACCCTCAATATTCTCCAGGCTCTGGCCTCTCAGGTGTCACTTCCCACTCTGATAACATTCTCTCTCATGACAAGACTTCCTGAGAATGAGTGAAATCATAGACAGGTAGGTAATAACAGAAATTAGCACCATGTGTTCATGAAGTCCAAACAAAACAGCATGAATATGGGCTTCTGCATGTGCGGTGTCATCTAGACCAGGATGTACCTGCTTCAGGCAAGCCGGGGGCAGAGAGACACCATGGTGACCATGCACCTGCTCCTACTGACTGTGGTTCAGATCCTGCCCTCTGTGGAGAAATTGTCCTACAGGAATAGTAAATATGGGGCCACTGCTGACAAGGTGAGAGATAGTAGGATGACTGAGTATGTAAACTGGGTTTCCATGGATTGAGTGAGTGTCTCTGGGCTTCTGAGAGCTACCAGTGAACATTAGTGACACACCTTGTATTATGACTCAGTGTCAGTTCTCCAGCATGTCTTTTGTTAGTAGCTGATATCTGGGGTACCCAGAGCACAAGGACTGGTTTATGGAGGTATTTGTCTCCTCAGTATGACCCGGAGAATCTCTACTCCCTCTGTCAGTCTGTGGTTTCCTTAAAACCTTCTTTTAGGTCCACGGACATGAGTCTGTTCAGAGTTTCTGTTCCTTAATGAAAGCATCATGCAGTACAATATACACAAAGCAGGGCTGCTGTGTGAAAGAAGGCTTAGCACTGTCAGTTATGGGGAGGTCTGGAGGGATGGACATTCTAAGATGTTATGATGTTTAAATTGACGATATGTTTTGAGATGAGAGACCCTGACTCCAATGGATAAAGATGCCTGATGCTGCTTCCCTGATATTTCAAGGTCTCATCCTGGAAATTCAGCTGATCTGGAGGCCAGCATACTCATGAATCAAGCTGGTTTCAAGGCTCCTGCCTTCCTACAGAGACAACTCCAGCTCTTTCTGGCCCCACAGCTTCCTTATAGTAATCCCAAGTCCTTTCCCTCTTATTCTTAGAATAAAGGAAGGTGGCCAGCCCCTGATCATGGTCTTAGCTGGTCCTCTTGGTGACTTTTCTTTGCTGTTTATGTGGGGCATTTTCAGGAATCCAGGAATAAACCTGTCCCAGAAATGATATCTCCCACCCAAATTCCTGTCCTAGCCTGCCTGGATCTGACTTCTCATGACAGAGAAAGCCTGCCATGACCAGGACTCTTCTTGATCCTTTAACATACCGTGTCCCTCCAGATGGTATAGGGACCCTACCCAATGTCCCTTCTTCATCTCCTCCCATCTCACCTTCTCCCTGGAATCCCTTTGCTTGGCTTCCCCTTTACATGCTCTCCTACTCAAGGGTGATTTCCCTCTCTAGCTTTTAGGAAAATGGTACATAACTCGCTGGGCAGCAAACATGCCTATTTCTGCAAAGAAAAAGGTCAGCCCACTGCCTCCCTTCAAGTTCGTCAAGAACATTATTGGCAAGTTGGAGTTTAGGATGAACATTTCGTGAGTACCCTTCCTCAGGCAGCCCTCTCTGCTCTTGGCTCCATTTGCTTCCCACCTTAACCACGAGCATGCTCTTGACCTCAGCTAGGCACTTCATATCAATATGGAATCTTCGTGTATTGTCTGGGTAGTGTATCAGGTGACTTCTGTAAGCACAGGAGAGATGTTAACTCAATACTGGATAAAAAAGAAGGCCCAGTTCATCACATGCTATTCTCCAATACACTCCCTGGTAGACCAAGGCTCTCCATTCTAGTGCTGCTATGATCCCTGGAGCCTCTCAAGATTTCAGTGAGTTCCATGTGCAGTGAGGACCCAGGAGTGAGGAGAGCAGGTCAGAGCTCTGTCTTTTGGGGGACACCATTGTAGATACATTAGCAGAATCAGGGCAGGACCTGGTCTCTGGGGGGAAATGTCCTGGGTTGGCAGCAAGCCTGTCCAAACCTGGGCAGTTCTTTAGATATGCACGATCTCTCTTTTGTCTTCCCACCTACCATGATGAAGAGTACTCAAGGAAGTGTTTTGTGAAATGTAATACAAAAAGTAGAAGACGCTGAGACTAATATTGGGGTTCAAGCATCAAGATGAAGACCAGAAAAGCAAAGCAGCTGGTCACTAGCTCTTATTCTACCTCAAACTGAAAGGCCATCCTGTCTCCACCAAACCTCAGACTGTAACATCTCCTCAGCATGGCTGGAGAATCCTGAGACTTCAATGTCTTTCTATCCTCAATGTGGCTGGAGAATGAATGCCAGCTCTGAGACCTTGCTCCTGTCTTATGTACCTCCCTAATGCTTGGATTAAAGGCATGTGATCTGAGGTGCTGGGATCAAATGCATATGAACTCTGTCTTGCTTCACTTTTGTGTAGGCCATGGTGGCCTAGAATTCATAGTGATGGGTCTACTCTTAATCCTGAGTCCTGAGATTAAAGGTGTGTGCCACCACTACTACCTGACCTCTATAGCTATGGCTGAATTTGCTTTCTGAATCCTCAGGAAAACTTTAATAAATCATAAATAATACATGAAAAGGCAAATTCCAATGCTTGGCTAGTGGCTGTATGTATTGGAGGGAAGGCCTGCAGACAACTTACCGTAAAGCTCAAAGATGACAACTGGAAAGTACCGGGCTGGTGTCAGGAAGAAAGCCATGCTTTTATCCTGTGTTACAGAAAACCCATCGGGTGTGTTGACTTTAAGAAATATATGGACGAAGAAAAACCAGGTGTCTTCAACATTTGTGAGTTATGGGGTTCATGCCTTTTTTTTCTGGGGTCTTCAGTAAGAGATGTTAAAATCATATGGTTCATTTTCTACCTCAGGGCCACAGTTCCAGATCCACATTGTGTTCCTAGGTGGAAAGGACTTTGCTATTGCCTTTCATGAGAGCAGAGGCAATAATCCAACCCACACGGCGACAATGTTCATGGGTGCGTCTCAGACTGCCTACGGTTGTGAGAACTGGGTATGGCTTTTGTGGTTAGTAGGTTTAGGATGGGTGGCTATCTCCCGCTCTCATGCTCTAGTCTCTACCTTGTGGTCTTTCTTTCCTGAGATGCCTGGGGTCTTTGAGAAAGGTGTTTGTAAGTTGTGTCTCTGTTAATTTTTCTCCATATCGCTCCTGAAACACAGGACTCACAACCATTTCTCACCCACTGAGCCCCAGATCCTCCCTTCCTTTCTTGGCATTTCTCCTGGTCCTGTTCTAAGAGGGGATCTGGTTAGAATCATTTCCCACTGAGAACATTGAGAAACATTTGAAGATAATATGCTGTTGTCATGGTATCAAGGCCTGGCTGGCCTGATATTCAGTCCGTGGAGGACAGTCTTACTCAACAACTGATGTAGACAGGTCTGAGGCACTAAAGTCCACAGTTTCTATGCTAGCTAAGAGAAATGATAGACAAGCAGATGAAGTTTCATGTACAGGCTTTGCCAGTGTTAAGTAGAGAAAAATATTTCATTGTTCTTTCTGCTTCCTTCAAACAATTAGGAACTTAATGAGAAGCTTCAACAAAGCTTAGGAAAACTGAATGGTTAAAAGTTCTTGCTTTGTAAGATGAAGACCCGAATTCCTGTCACAAAAACTCACACAAGTTTCTGGACATGACTGAGTGTGCCAGTAACCCCATTATTGTTGAAGAGACAGTGGGTCCTCAGAACTGGCTGCCCAGAAAAACTAGCCATAATGACAAAATTCTAGTCCAATGAAATACTGTGTCACAAGGCAGCAATATGGAGAGTTGTAGAAGAAGATGAACATCTTGCTCTATTCACCATGGTTACAAACAGACACAGCCATTCATCTACCCTACACATGCACACATAGGCAGAAACACACACACACACATATGCACACGCACACACTCCTAGGGTGCAGGACAAAACAAGGACATCTGTGTATTTGCTGTGATAATTTTTCACTCACATCCTGGGGAAAGCAGGTGTCCTAATCAAGTGTCTCATGTTGTCTCTGTTCTCATAGAGGAGTTCTGGACATTGGGTCAGACTTGGGGAGTACATCTGTACAAATTCACCAGTGCTAGGTGGAAACCTGTCATGTGTCGTCCACCATCACATGCACTGACAGCCCCAATGTGGTAGCACATTTCTTGTCTCTGCTTGCATTCTCCAACTGCTCTTCTCTCATGATCCTTCTGAACATTGGATTGCACCGTGCTTGCCTCTCTCTCTCTAGGTCATACTGACTACCCACAGTCTTCATCCTGTAGTCTGTGCACTCATGAGTTTCCAAAAATGTTCTAGGAGCCCTCTCAGCTTAGGCATGGAGACTCTAGATAGAAATGAGTTATGTTTTCCACTGACTCCACCCTCTCATTTTAACCAAGGGTTCCAGGAGTCATGGTGCTGTCCAGAAGCTCTAGATATTCCTGGGTTACTCTCTGAATTAAAATATTTCCCTGAGACCCAGAGAAGTGCCTCCAAAAGATGGTCCTGTTTCAACATGTGTTTAAAATGTTGATGGTCTACTGAGGGCAAAGTTGGGAGACAGGGCCCTGATGGTAGGTGATTGCAACATAATCATGACAAAGTTGTCCAGTCACTGTTGAGTTCTTTCCTTCTCCACCTCCAGCTACTGTGAAACTTTACAGTTTCCTCTAGGAAATAATGAAGAAGGAACAATCAGAGTGGGTCTGGGGCAAGGATGTGCTTTGTATGGGAGTGGAGGGTGGAAGGGCGGAGATTATCTACACATGACTTCTGCACTCCTTGGATGACCATGTGAGCCTCATGAGTAACCTTTATGAGTGTATTGGGGGCTCCGGTCTCATGGGAGACCCATGTGCTCAGGTAACACTTATCCCAAATATGATGTAATCATGATTCCATTGAACGACCCACCTGGCCCTCCTCCATCTCAGGAAAATTCAGCTGGGGATGCTCTTTCTAAGGCTTGAAATCTCAGGTCACATAAAAATCTTTGGGTGAACTGTCTACAGTAAGAATGTTTTTAATCCTCTTGTTCCATACCCATGTGGCCTTCAGGTCGAAACATGTCTCCAAAGCAAACAATGTTATTGGATTTTGAAGACACTGTGAAATACCTAGGGCTGAAAAGTACAGACATCATCAACCCTGGATGTGATGGTAATGAGATTGAAATTTTGCTTATTTCTAATTCCTTTCCATTCACCATTCCCTGTAAGATAATGATCATGCAAACACTGCTCTGAGACACCTCTTTCTCTGTTTGTAAATAGATTACTGTGAGCTGTCCAAAGAAACTTAGTGCATGGAGAAGTATTACTGTCTTCACAGGAACTGGGAACTTGCATCACTTCACTTATCTTGTCATCCTATATACAGAGGGCCAGGAGCCAAGGGAAGACAGTCAGACTCCCCAACGACTCATCTTTCAGTAAAGGTGGCAGATACTACCTGCTCTATATGGCAAGTCTGGTCAAATGACTCCTGGCTTTGTGTTACTTCATTGAGAGCAAGCATACAGACATGATCTTGGTCATCAGCATGCATGGGTCCATACATAAGTGACATGCCATGGTACACAGGGTCAAAGGTCTCATCTATGGCATCTGGGGAACAAAGTACAGTTCCAGTGAAAACCAAGTCTGATCCAAAAAGTGATGTGATGTGATTGTGTAATGATCAAGGTGTGGTTTACAGGGGAATGGGTGACCTGTCATCAGTCACACCTCTGAAAAGCCCCATCCTAGCACCAACAATTTCTTCACAGCTGGATAGCTGGAACTTTCCTGCAGTTAACCTTCCATCTGTTTTAAAATGAGACCATGTGTAGTTCCTACAGGGTTACAAACATCTGGTAGGGAAGGTAAGGAAGGAGTAAATGGAATCTCAGGTAAGAGTGCAAGGATCTACCCCAACTTTATTTGAGGGAATGTGTCTAGGCCTGATCTTTATGGTTTTTGAGTTATCACTGCTGCTGAATAACTTGTTATGCTTGGAGGACAGTGTTTTACAACAGGCCAGATCAGTTTTCACTGTCTTTTACAGGGCATGAGTGTGTTGGAATCATCGTTGCTAAGAACCCATGATGTGAGAGAACCACCCAAAAGGGTAATTCTCTGAGGATTTGTCCTCCTATCCCCTTCTCCAAGTAAACTGGCATCTTCTTTGTATTGTCCCGTTGGGGTCCGGCTAGATTAGAATTCCTTCAGTCGTTTAGACTATGGGTGAGAAGAATTTCTGGTATCTATGGTAACCCTGCACACTTGACCCACTGTGAAGCCTGGCTAGCTTTGCTCAATCAACAGAGCATAAACGGTGGGATTAGACAGTGGTCGGGATGGAATACATTAAGATTTTGACCGAGGGAAGAGAGTCAGGCAGATAGTTTTTACATGGAAGGTTTTTAGCCTAACCTTACTGCAGAAACAGGTTCATATAAATGGGTGAGCTATCTCAGGGAAGCCAGTGTTATAGGTTCAGTGGCTGTGGCAACTGGCAGGAGTACTTTCCTAGATCACGGTGTGTTATAAGGGAGGTGTTCTTTTGTGGCCATCCACAGAGTGAACTTAGGAAATGCGAGGCAGAGCTCCACTTGAATAGAGGCCCCAATGTAAAAAGCAGCTCACAAGTCTGACCATAAGGCCATTGATTCTCACATGGTAGAGGTGAGGTACATCTGATGGACATTGGATATGTAGCTTGGTTCTTGAAATCAACAGGATATGACCAATAAGAGATGCTCCAGGGTACAATGCCTCTGATTCTTGGTTAACAATTGTGTATGGCCTAAGAGTATGAGAGTAGTGCTGGGATTATCCTTTCAACTGCTCAAAAAGGTGGTGGGATGACCCTGTCTAGGCAAGCCTCAGAAGTGAGTCAACTGGCCATGTTCGTATAATTATATTCTGCCTGAGCTCTGTCTTTCATGTCTCAAGAATTTTCTCGTTTACTTTTCTGTTTCTGTGACAAAACACAGTGACTAAGACAACATATAAAGCTGTGTTTAATTAGGCTTACCACTTTAGAGGTTTAGAGTCCATGACGGGGAAGCAAATGCATGGTGGCAGTAAGAGCTCAGAGCTCACACCTAAATCCATAATCAAGAAGCAGAGAGCACACTGGGAATGGCTCTTGAGAGTCTTTTGAAACTCCAGCACCTGTCCCTGGGACACCTCTTCAAATAAGGCACGCCTCCTAATCCTTCCCAAACAGTGTCACCAACTAGGACAACCAACCAGATACATAAACCTACAGGGGCCATTTTCATGCAAACCAGCATGAGAATAAGCCTTGACTGTTATAAAGTGACCCAGAATTTCTCCTGTAGAGATTGTAGTAATACCCAATGCCACATCCCACCATCTGTGCCTCAAGGCCCCCCATGGCAGCTCAACAGTGACCATGAAGGTTGACTTAGAAGGTGCTACAGATCCCGATAAGAACACATGTAGGCATCTGTGGCAGGAAAGGTGTTCTGAGCCCCCTGATTTACAAGGGAAAGTGGCAGCCCCGGCATGCAGGGCAGTGCCAAAGCCCTTACCCAGGCCACAGTATGTGTGACTAAAGAGAGGACAGAGCAACGAGATAGCAGAGGGAGAAAGGCAGCATGCATTGGGACTCACCCGAGAGCCAAACATACACGGGGAAATACTGAGATCTTGTGGGGTGATATGGGAACTGTAGAAGGTCGTTTGGAAGGTACCTGAACAAAGGTGTTCCTCTTATGAGGACGTAGTGGGTCAGGTGTGGAAAGGCTGTTTTGAATGGACAGAGTCCTGGGAACATTAAAGGTGAGGTTGAAGCAGCACACTAGCGGCCAAGGTAAAAGTGCTAAGAGACAGGGGAGAGATAAACACACATCAAGCTTTCAAGTGCCACCTTAACTCAGTCATGGCTTTGTGGCTAGCCATCACTGTGTTGTTTAAGAGTAGTCCCTGTAGCATCCTTTCCATTACCGTCTACCTGAACACACCCCAAACATCTCAGGTGGCTTGTACTGCAAGCTGTGGTCCTGAGCCCACCAATACATTCCCCAGATGTCCCAGGTGGTTTGTTCTGCTAGCTGCCATCTTCACTTACTCCCACCTTCAGACATCTTAGGTAGCTTGTTCTGCTGCTGTTGCCTAAGGCCACACCCTGCTTACACTTGCCCTGTTCATGTTTCCACAGCTGGCTCCCTGGAGATGTCCAGGGGTCAGTCTCATATCTATTCATATCTGGTTCATTCAGGACAAGTCTCAGTTAGGGTGATTGGGGAAATATCACAGTATGTTAATATGCAGGGTGAATGGCCAACTAAGGCTGATTCCTATGAGTAGAGGACAGACAGTGCTCTGTGGCATCCCAAATAAATAGGTTCTTCTGATGGTACAGTTGTCCTCAAATCTGTAGGGACCATCAAGTAGTCTGAGTATTACATTAAGTTTCCAGTGGTCCTTTGAGGAGGGGAAACCAAAAATAATGATGGTGTCTCAGCTGACACTCCAGTGAGAATTGGTTTACAGGCTACCAACTCCATACCTACAGAGTCTTCATGGTTGTGAGAGTAACAGATACAAACTCTAGCTTCTTCAGGAACCACCATGGTCTTGACACCTGGAAAAGGCATTGCTCTATTTTGGTTCAAGTGTATCCTGAGGAACTCCTTATCCTCTATTCTATGATCCAAAACTCTGCTTTGGCCATCTAAGTCTGGAGACCTGAAACATTCCTCAGACACCCACTCTATGACCAAATCACCCAATACCTGCAGGCCAGCATGGGATGTGAGCTCTCTTGAAAAGCAGCTGCACTCCCAGGGAACACCAAAGTGTTGTAGACTCCCATCTCTCCCCTCTTCACTACCCAGACCACCTTCCCAAACACCCGGTGTTGTGTTTGACATTCTCTTAGGAAGGGGGTTTTCAAGGTCTGACTGTTAAATGAAGGTCTTCTGGAGAGGAGGAGGGGAAGAGGAAGAGAATTGGGACCTCTAACCAACAACCTTAGCCCCTCAATCTCTATGAGGCTCCTACATGCCCATCTGCCCATCATAGCCTCACATCTCATTCATCCTCTTTTGGTTGAATCTATGAGGTTGTGCACAATGGCCTCATAGATTCAGAATACTTGGTCTTCAGGGAGTGGTGCTATTTGAAAGGATTAGGAGGTTTGACCTTGTTCTTTGAGGCTTCGATCCCCATGCCAAGCCCAGAGTCCCTGTCTCTTCCTGGTGCCCGAGGATATGAGCGTGGAACTCTCAGCTACTTTCCCACCATGTCTGCCTGCATGCTGCCATGCTCCTCACCATAAAAGCAATACATTACTCCTCTGAAATTGTAAGTTTCAATCAAATGCTTTCATTTCTAAGAGTGGTCATGGACATGGTGTCTTTCCACAGCAATGAAACACTGACTAAGATATCCTCTAAGGCCCATAATACCTGGTCTGCATGACAGCCATGAGGCCAAGGCTGAAGGTCGGGAACTTTGGGTCTGTAGCCACAGGTACCCAACAGGAAACCTGGCAGTCTGTGGGGCTTGTTCTAGGGCCTCACTCTGTGCCTTTTATACTGCTCAGCACAGGGATGTCCCTTGTACTTTGTGAATATGTATTGCTCTCATTGGTTGGAAATAAAACAGTTTTGGTCAATGACGAGGCAACATAAGGTTAGACAGTGCCATCAAATTGAGGGCAGGTGAAGAAGGTCAGAGTCAGGGAGACACCAGCCAGTTCCCGAGGAAGCAAGACATGTTTAAAAGAAGGTAATGGAACAGCCACATGGCAATACATAGATTAATAGAAATGGGTTAATTCAAATGTAAGAGCTAGTTAGTAATAAGTCTGAGCCATCAGTTAAATAATTATAATTAATATTAGCCCTCTGGCTAATATAAGTGGCTGTGGGTCTAGGCACAACAGAAAAGCTCTGGCTACTTTGGCACCTAAAGTGGCCAGCTCTACAGTGGAGATGATAAAATGTCATAACTGAAGTTACTAAGGAACATTGGTAGCCCAGAGGGTGATAGGGCAGGGCTGCTGCCCCAAGGAACTGCCTTGTTCATTTTCCATGGTAAAGTAGTGACTAAAAGTGAGGGATGCAGTCTCTCATGTCAGGAACCCCTGAGGGTGAGTAGTGCAGAAAAGGACCCCTCCTGAACACACTGCATAGCCTTCCAGCTGGGTGGCATGCTCATCGACACAGAAGAGGCCACTGGAGCCAGAGAGTCTTGTACTCCAGTCTGAGGAATCCACCTCAATCCCAAGGCAGGTCACTGAACTTTAAGTTCATCTTGTAAGAAGAGAAAAGTGGGAGCATGCTGTGTGACTACCAAAATATGTGCTTAAAGAAGATGCGTCCCTTTCTCAGCAAGGTGTGCAGTAGCCCCTGCCTATTACAGAGCAATGATGGATCAGACACAGAAGGAAAGCAAGAAGGTCTGTGTGAGCACGGATGCACCCAGACATGCATGTACACACGTTCAGCAATGGGACAGAATCACAGGTTGATGCAGGAGAGATAGCCCATCAGCTAAGTGCCCTTGTTGTTCTTGCAGAAGACCTGGGTTCCATTTTAGCATCTACATTACGCTCACAACCACACGTAATTTCAGTCCTAGAAAATCCAATATCTTCCTCTAGGCCTCCACAGGCTCTTAAATTCATATGATGCACATAAGTCCACTTAAGCTTACTCTTGTATACATAAATAAAAATTCATTGGGAAGCAATCCTAGGAAGTCAGCTTTCAGATTGTCCCAGGTTGTCCCATGAACCTGAGTGAAGGGAAAGCCTCTAGTGTGCAAGGGTATATGCAGCAGGAATGAACTCATCTTGTCCAGAGTGTGCAGTCATCCAGGTGTGACACATCCAGTGCCACAGAGGAGGCTGATAGAGTCACAGAGCCCTGAAACCCTATCCGAGCATCGTGAAGGTCATATAATCTCAAATTCATTCCAGAAAACGGAACTCTGCTGTTTGAACTAAAAACACATGCATTCAAAGAGGACATAATCTCTCCTGAGCAAGGTAAGTATAAGGCCCCATGATCCATATGTGGAAAAGGATGAGTCAGAAAGAAATGGAGGCAGCTATGTTTACATCCTAATGACAAAGGGGTGGGCATATGGGCCTTGGGGAGAGCTACCAGGCCTCGATGAGAGCAATGTAAACATGATGAGACTAGTGGCACCAGCCTTTACCAGTATTTCCAACTGCTAATTTTATTCACCTCTAAGGATATTCAGGACCATCTAGAATGTGCAAATCATAAAGTATCACATCTTGTGTCCTGATCATTCAACAAGGTGTCTATATCCCAAGGAGCTTAAATTGAAAGCATCAGAGCAGAACACTGTTTGGAACTGGACTTGGGATAGAAGTGAAAAAAAAAAACTCCAGATAGAGAATAAGGGTGGCAAAGTAACTCAGAGGGTAAAAGTTGAGTCACAATGTCTCCCTCTTAGCAAAGAACCTGAAAAAGATAAGCTTAGGGTAGGTGTTCAGGTGGAATCCTTCACCCCAGCCCCTGGCGTCTGTATACCCAAAGAGTCTGTAATGTTATGGTAAAAGCTTCTTCCCTGCCCCTGGCATCCACACACCCAGAGAGTCTGGGATGTTACGGTGGAAGTTCTACCCAAGCCCCCTCCCCTATCTCCCTCCAAACCCTACTGCATCTCAGAAAGCCCACCAAATGATGGTCCCTCCCCAGAGATACTCAAGACCACTACCACAGGGTATTTAAACTGCACCCCAGAGAATAGACTCATAGTTTTTCCGGTCTCCCTTTCCCGTCTCCTCTGGGGGGGGGGGGCTGGAAGGCCATCTAGGAGCATTGTATCCATCAACGTGTGCTTTTACTAATTCAGTTTGATTTGTTCTAATTTGGATTTCTGTATCAGCAGAGAGGCTTATCTGGGTCTGGAAACTTTTCAGTAGGGAACTTATTTTAGAATGGAAGAAAAAAAAAAAAGAATGAACCCAGCATTCTTAGAGGAGAAAAAAAATACACACAATACTTGCCCCAGACACAATTTGCTATCAAATAGCAAGTGCAATGCCAGGTTTTGGTTACCTCTTTTTGAGTTGCTGGTCATTGGTTCCTAAAGTCCCCCAGTACATTACAGGCTACTGTCATTGTTCTTTATTAGCCTCCAGATCATTCTGAGGATACCACACACTAGAGCCATAGGACTCAGACAATTCAAACTGGTATCAATCTGGAAACTTCATCCCTGCTGGCTAGCTTTCACAGTGCTTGAAGAGTCAATGCATGTTATCAGGGAAGAAATGTTTTCTGCAGTCTTACCTAATTGAACACCCTTTGAGCTGCAATAAGGTCTGGCCTGGTAAAATAGACCCAATTTTGCAATTCTGGCAGGAACACCCTGGGAGTAATCAATCACTTTCTGGGTGGATTTAAAGTCTGCTCCACAAGACAGAACTCATATGTGGCACCATTAAGGGTATGGAAAGCCTTCCTGGAGAATCTATCAGTTACCAATAGTTCCTCAGATAGAGGTATAATTTCACAGTCTCCTCCAAAGTCCATGTTGGAATTTGGCTGGATTGATCTTGCACAGGTCCTGTGCATGCAGTCTTAATTCTGAGTTTGTGTGTGCAAAGGTGCTGTCATATCTGGTCAATACTAATACTCATGGGTTGGGAAGGAGCTCATGAAGTCCCATCTTAACTGAACAGCTACAAACAATTGTAGGCTTTTAGGGGAGGAAGAGTCCTTGTTCATCAATAATGCAGCTTCTGAGAGGCTATCCATGCTCCAGTAGGTGGTCCTATATCCATAAAAATTCAGGGAGCACTTGTCTAGGTGGAATCTCCACCTCAGCTCCCACTCCTCCCATTTCAGACCCTGCCCCTCTGAAAGTCTGCAAAGGGTCAGCTCCTCCCCCAGAGGGCATTTAATGCTCCCTCCTCTGGATCAGTCTCATGGTTTCCCCTCTTCTCCTGGGACCACCAGGAGAATGCTTTGCTCAGATTAAAACCTGGACTTTAACGGGCTTCATTGGCTTATTGCATCAGCAGAGTTACCCACTGCTGGGGAAATTTTTACTTATCATGTGGTGTGTTTACCAGGGTGAGTCAAGTCTTTGTCCAGCTGGTAACTCCAAATTTACACTGCTCTACTTCATCGCCATCTTGGATGACCACATGGAGATATTAGTTCTCCAAGTTATTTTGGTTCTGTATGATAATTCCTGTCCTGTCCCCAAAACAAGGTTTATGAAAGACAGGGTTTTAAACAATGCTGTTTTACTGAGGTAAATTGCTTGTAATGGGAAAACTTGGTTTTGTCTTCCACAGATTGTGATTATGCTGTAGGTCTCAGAACCACAGCTGAACATCAGAGACTGAGATATTCCTATCTTATGATGTCAAAGCAGTCTGACAAAGGGTCTTTCCTTATCTAAGGTCTATTTGGACTAACAAAGACCAATTTAAGAACACATGTCTAATATTCTTGCTACTACTAACATTGGTAAGATGAAGCTAATTCGATATGTTTGGATTTAGCTTTAGCTTAAGCTAAGCCTTGACAACATTTGTCTAAGTTAGACATACCCAAAAGACTTTGTTTCCCTGATTCTCAAACACTTCAGAGATCTGAGAATATGGGATTTTAATAAAAAAGCTTTCCTTGGTAGAGTGACACACATAGCTCCTGGTAGCATCCGTATCTCCTCCAAACTATGACTACAGAATTTCTGCCTGGAAGCTTGCTTTGAATGTAGCAAAGCCAGTCACACAGCAAAAAACCAAACACAAAAACAAAATCAAAAAACCCCAAAACTGCTTTGCACTTTAAACTGCTACCAAGGCCCCGTCTTACTAGGGAAAGAGCGTCAAGTCCAACCCACATGGGCCCTCCAGACATGCCAGCCTCTGTACCAGCTCCAAGGGCACCAACCACCAGACAGGTGAATACTGGCAGGTTAACTTCACCTGCATACCCACTCATAAAAAGGCTCCAATATCTCTTAACTCTTATTGACACCTTTACAGGACGCACGCACTCCCTACCTCCAGGAAAACAGTAGATGTGACTCCTGGAACACATTAACCCTTGATTTGGCATGCCACCTCGGAGCTCCTGGGACATCAGTGCTGGTGCCACCTTTCCAGGCTCAAGCAGGCACCTATCCAGCAACTGGGACGTGGTTTTCTAAGATGTCCCAGTGAAGGGCGTATCTGCTTCCGTGTCTTGCTCATTCACCCTTGTCTCTTTTGTACAACCAGGGCACTTCTCCATCCCATTCTTTCTGGCAGTCTTCCCTCTTCCCATGGGCACTCCTCTTTCATAGGGCCAGTGTTGATGATCCTTTTTTTTTTTTTGTCTTGGCAACCTGTCTTCTTTGCCTCAAAGAGCAGATGCTGGTGCCTCCAGGATGGCAGTTATTTGAATGCTTCTTCACCTCCTGCTGAGCAGGAGCCCACAGGTGTGGTAGAACCCTGCAGGCCTGGTGCCGAAGAGCTAGTAACTAGCCCTAACCCACACTGAGAGTTAGCACCTAGCCACAATCCACCTTTTGTGACCCTGTGTGAACCTTGTTAGGGAGTTTCCCAGGATAAAAAAGCCTTTGCAAAACTTGGTTTAGAAAAATGGGAAAACTGTGGCACCTGATGCATCCAGACCTTGCACTTGGCATTGCATTTTTGGAAGCCTCATTCAAGTTGCTCTGAGCATATGGTAATCAACTGGCTAAAGGGTAAATATGGAGAAAAATAAAAATGCCCTGGTTGTAGGGAAAGCACTCCAGTCCATAAAGGCTGAAGACCCCTAAAGCCTTGAAAGACTAAATTCATCATTAACAGTGTCTCTGAGTCTTCTTTCAACACCCATGAACTATGACATGCAGGACACAGACTCCCAATTCCCCATCCCCGCATCACCCTGTTCAATTGGACATACCCTTTACTCTAGCTTTCAATCTTTATGATAGCTCTAACTTTCGTCTTTGATCAATTGCCTTTTCAGCTGTCTTATCAAGTTTCTCCAGCAAAGACTATAACTTCCACTACCAAGTAAGTCACATAATTACTCATGGGCAAAAACTACCAGTGCCTAACCCACCAGGAAAGGACCCCAACATGTTCCTTCTAACTGTTGAAATGCTCTCCCAAAGAAGGAAGAAATCTTCCCCTAACTATTACTCATTTCCATTCTCCTTTGTACCTTTCCAGAGTTGTGATATATTGTATAACTACTCCATGTCATAAGGAATTAAGTCAGGCTGCACAGCACTTAGTCATAGAGAATGTCTTAGCCTTAGCCTGAACTTCCTGTTCTACCTGAGGAAACCTTATGTTCTCGTACTGAAGACAACCCGTTTGGCTTCTAGTCAAACTACAAAAATAGCAGTAACATCCTGGTAGCCAGCCACAGATGTGTGTATGTGTATATACCTGTCCCTCAGGCCCTCTAGGGAAGATCAGCCTTAATTCAGGGGACAGGTTGAGGTCCTTTACTGGTCAAAAAAAAAAAACTTACCAAAAAAACCAATCTTGTCCTATTGAGACTGAGTCTTCCTGCCTCTGTCTCATTTTTCTTACATCTCTCTCAACAAGATCATATAAGTAGTGAGAAATACCGAGAGGAGAGATGAGAGGAGATTGACCCATTGAGCTGCCTGCTAGTCATTCATAGAGCTCCAGGGTCCCAGATTTCATGAGTGATACCCATATTAGAGTGACTCGCTTGAGAAATGCTTGCTCCTGTAAGTGGCCAAGCCCACTCCTATAGTGATCACAATAAACAAACTCATTCACCGTGGTGATATCATCTGTTGCTTTGATTTGTCAGGAGTTCCTCATCTGGGGTGTATAATGAAGCAGTGAGTGAGTTCTTCTTGACTGCTCCTAGTTCAGTATGGAGTACACAGGATGCTAAGGGGAATCCAAGGGTACTTTATTTGGCTTCAGGGAACAACAATTTGAACTGGAAACATTTCACTGGCTAGAGAAATGAATGCCTCAACAAAAGGCTGCAAGTAGTGCAGCCCTGTGCTCTCAGAGGGCCTCGGGGTGTAAGCCCAGAGCAGGCCCTTGCAGAGCATGACTCATGAGTGCAGGAAACTGACACAGGTATCAGGAGCAGTCTCCTGCCTCCAGCACATCCTGCATGCTGGAGTTACAGGTCCCTGGTGGCTGAGATAGGAGTCTTCTGCCTTCAGTCTCTCTCTGGTCTGAATCCCAGACAGAGGCAGAAACCTCAGGTGCGAGGAGCATGCCAGTGAGTCTTGCTTATGGAACCTGGATGCTGCTGAGTCTGGGAGTGCTGAAGTTTTCCTCTCTTCTTCTTCCATCAAGTTCCAAGGCAAAAACGGGTGTCAAAGCCTCGGGTGCATAGAAACTCATGGAGAAATTAGTTGGGCCTTGATTAGATGAGTGTAGACCTGAAAATGAGGCGAGAGTTGGACCAACCAGGGAAGGTCTGTTCAATGAATTTAAGGGCTCCCTTGCTACGTCAGCCTTTGATGGCAGCTGTCTGCGGCTCTGCTGGCCTGGCCTGGTTGCTATAAAGGACTGGGGCTGTATTAGTTGCCACCATGTTGCAAAGTTGGGTGATATGAGCTGTCAAGCTGCAGCTCATCCTCTTCTTAGGGTCTCACATTGGGTGGGGGGCTCCCCATCCTGTGTGGAGCTCCACTCTCAGGCCACTCCTGCCCCTGTTGCTCATTGCTCCCAAGGAGTAGTGTCACATAACAGAATCTGAGATATATCTTGTTGGGCTTCTCCCGGTGCTAGGTGCTTTTATGTAGTCAACTGCCCGTCTGCCACAGGAGTCCTCTCTGTTGATCATAATTCCCTCTCTGAAGCGGCCCCTCTTGCTGGCTTCTTGTGACCCAACCAAAGGTGGTCATTATTGATCTATCTTTTGGAAATATTCTTGTTTGTTAAATACCCAGCCTGGCAGCAAGTGCTGGAGTCTTGCAACCAGCACCAAACTTTGTTCCTCACAGGAAGGCAAATTCAACTAAAGACAGCATGTGGCAGAACAAAGGTGAATCTATAGATGCAGAACACTGAATAGACATTTGATACCTCCCCATGGATGGCCAAGCCGGCCAAAGCTAACACTAAACAGCTATGTGGCTTGCTCTGAAAGGATTGTTATCCACTCATGATGCCAAAGACCAAGTTCTCAGCACAAGGGAGATTTATTTGACTCAGAGGGATAAAAGGCAGGGAATAAGAGATAAAGACAGGGGATAGAGGACAAGGGAGAAGAGGGAGGGAACAAGAGAAAGGAGGTGGGGATATTTGTCCCAAAGGGGCAAAAGACTGTCTCTGGATAGAGAGGAGACAGACATGGCCCATAGAGAAATGATGGTTTATAAGGGCAAATGAGGAAAGCCTATGTTAGGATGAGGTGTTTAACTTTAATTGAGCATGTTGATTAGGACAGCCAAAGGGGGCTTTTGAATGCTAGACTTTAATACTTTGATAGCTGCACCTTGGCAGTCTTCCTCAAGAGGAGAAAGTGGCTAAATAAGAGAACAGACCTTGATGACTAGCTTTAGAAATGTAATCTAATGGTTTTTAGAAAAGCAGAGAGAGTGGGGGAGAAGGGTAAGGTCTGCCAGAGACATGTCTGGCAATGCTTGGGCTGACTAGAGTCCCTTTATTCCCACATTTTTGTTTTATTATTGGGTTGCTGCTTCCTGCTGACACCGGAGTGTTGTTGTTTGGGGACACAAGGAAGCTAGATTGCTGGCCAAGTTTGGGAAATGCAGGCTGTTACACATGTTTACCATAGGGAAGTATAGTCTGTGAGGCTGGACCAAGACATAGATTCCAAGGAAACATCTGGGGCTGGCACTGGAGTTACTAGAGCATTATGTAGCTGATTTGAAATCTGTTGGTACAGACAAACTAGGGACAAAGTGAAGTTAGGGAGTTTACAAAATATTTTTTAATCTTAGATGTACATTTGAAACTTTTATTTTCATGGTCCTGGAAGTAGGGGAGAGGACCCCAAGACCAGGGAAAGGGGGAGAGATCCCACCCTTAGGAATAAGCAATAGACTATTGGTGGGCTGGAGTATTATCTTGAGTCTCTTTGAGAGTACTTTAGAGGAGCCAGGGAGATTTAGAATGGCAATATAAGGCTAATTGGGGAAACAACTGCTATCTGAAAGTATGGTCTAATTATGTTTGGGAGAATATAATTTGAGAGCCTTTGTTCCATCAGAATAGTCTTCCCCAGAGTGTTTATGTGGAAATATTTTGGGAACATGGATGATTGTAGAGACTCTTGGAAAACAGAGAGAGGGACAATCTGTAACATGTTTTGGGGCTGGGGTGGAAAGGTTGAAAGAATTGGCTTTGGTTCCCAAATCAGGACTTGGATGGCTAAGGAGATCATCAGTCATTAGTGGGGGTGGGCAACTGGCGATTGGAGTATCAGTGGCGAGAGGGAATGTGACACAAAGAGAGCAGTGGGAGGCACTGAAGGAGGGGTTAGTGATATTTAGGATGCAGTTTCTTGAATGACCTTGACTCAAGTGAGGGTTTGGCCGAGAGAGGGGAGAGCTGTGTGTGTGACTTAGGGAAGTCATTTATTGGTGGATATTTGGCAATTATTTGTGCAGAGAAAAAGTGGGAATGTGAGAAGAGAGGTGAGATTTGTGGGAATGGGTGATCAGGAGAGAACAGTAACCGGAGGGTGAGGGTGAATATCCAAAGCAGGGGTTAGAAGAGTAGCCTGTGCTGAAAGAGGGTTAGGTATGTTGCTATTTGGGTTGTGTAGTAAGGCAGCCCGAAGGGAAGTTGGGTGAGTTGTAAAAGTGGGATGGAAGGTCAGCTTGACTGACTGTCGTGCCAGCATGATAACAGAGGTTGGACAGGAATGAGGTGTCATCTGTATATAATGCGTAGACATAAGTAGCTAGAGGACCCTCTTGTGTATGACATGGATTGGGAAGGCGGTTTTTGAGAGTTTTGAGGAGTGTAGAGAATCTGGGGACTGTTGTGGCAAAGAGATAAGTGTAGAGAGATTGAGGGGAGGACAGGCTAGGAATGTGAGAGTCAGGAGTTTTTGATAAGACAACTTCAGAGAGATAAAGTCTGAGATATTGGAAGGGATGATGTAGTTCTTTGTAAGTTAGGTGTTGAGGAAGAGAGTATTCAGAGTAGACTATGAGAAGGCTCAATAGATTGTGAGAGGGGACCCTAGAGTTTATTTGTTAGATTTAGTGATGGGCAGAGGGTTTGTTTCAAGAGTCCATAGACAAAAGGGTCAGCCTTGGATGGCAATACGTAGCATTTTGGAGAAGTAGTCAATAAATGCAAAGATCAGTCTTAGTAACTGTTATGTACTTTGGAAGTGGAAGGGTGGAAAGGTTTATGTGTACCTGGGAAGCAGAGGGCTTGGGTAGAAAAGATGACATTTTAAGTTTAAGGAGTTGTTTGTAGATGGGAGGAGGTAGGAGGGTAGGAGATCCAGAGGAGGCTTGATATAGGGAGAGCATCAAATATGGGTATGTAGGGATCCATGAGTGGAGGAAGTTGGAGTAGAGATGGGTGGTCTATACTGAGGTTCTTATAGGTTGGTAGTTGACTTTGGGACAGGAGAGTTGAGTGGAATGTGAGACTCAGGACCCTCTAGAGCTGAGGAAGAAGAGGAGTGAGGCAGTGTAAAACTGGCTATCAGAGAGGGGTACTGCAATGGAGGAGATTATCTAAAAGGCAGAGGAAAAAGGCAGAAGGCAGGCCAAGTTTATAGGAATGCCTGGCCAAAATGTGGGGACAGTCTACATTTTGGCCAGGCATTCCTAAGAGTAGGGTGTCTTGGGGTTTGGAAATGTAGGCAGAAGGGTCTGTGAGTGTGATAGAGAGGGGGTTATGTATGTAGCAACGGGAGGAGAAGTGGTGTCCCATGCGGTGGGATTGACTAGAGAGGAGGCAGAAAGCAAGGGGGAGGGGAGCTGGAGAGTGGGGAGTGTACAGATGGAAAGGCAGGGACGGGACGCAGGAGTGTCCTGGAGCAGTTGCCGGAGAAGCAGGCAAAGTTTGTGTCAAATCTTATGACATCCTTTCCTAGTGAGGGAACGGAACACGAGGGAACAAGCAGCAAACAAACAAACAAACAAAACCAAAAACTGTGAAGGAACGAGAGAAAGTCTAGAGGGGCCTGGAGGATTGGTTGTGTATTCTATGGGTGAGGGAGACCCAAACAGTAGCACAGAGAGGAGGGAAACCTGGGAAACAACTTCTCATAACCTCAAATTACTTTATCAGACCAGCAAGTGACTTAAGCTTTCATGTCTTTGGACCTTAACATGTTGTCTTGGGTTTTCATAACTTCAGACCTATATATATTTGAAACCATATTTTAGATCTGTATATTCTTAGACTTGTGTAACCTGAATCATTCATTTTTTCCCTTGACCTACATAACTTACTTGTCTGTTTCTCACAACATTTAGAAACTCCAAACCTTTCTCAGTGTGAAGCCTGTCAACAAGGTAAAGTGTACATATGAAATGGACCGAGCAGACAGCTGGGTGTTGTTAAAGTTGTAGTGAAATATCAACATCATCTGAGATCTGAGAATGACAAATTGGAGTAGAAAGTCTAATTTAAATGGCTTTGTATCAAGTAAAATGTCAGAGGTCTTCTTAGTTATTTGAGACTCACATGGTTCATTGCATAAGCAGTAGGTCTTTGCTGTCAAATAAAAACAGCATTTAATCTTCAGTTGTCAAGTGGGTTTTTGGGTGGCAGACTCAGATCTGAGGAATTTTTCCAGGAGAGGAAGAACTTGAGTACACTGACCATGCTTTGACAGGACAGAGTACAGTTTGTGCAGGTTCCTCATGGCAGGTAAGGCATGGGGTAGTTTTTCCCAGTAGTTCCAGCTACCACAGTCCATTCGGAGTCCTCTGTGTGGTGTCCCATCTGTTTCTTTAGAGACCTCCACGTTTCTTGTTAGGAGGGGTCTCTCTTTATTGTGGAAAGTTTTTATTGAACATTTAAATACCATAGTCAGCAGTTCACTGAGGAGTTTGAGTATTTATTAAGTATACCTTATTTTAAGCTTGGTTTTGAAAACAGACATAGGAGGATACATAAAGCTTATTTTTGTAAACTATAAATGTCTCATTACAGTTCCCCAAGTTGTCTCTGTTCTCACAGGGCAGCTCAGACACTGTGGTACCCAAGGGGAATACATAGCTCCAAAGTCTCCAGATGTTGCCATCACTAACCCTGAAGGCCGCGTGTCCATCCTGAGCCCTGCGGCTCTCACTACACTGTTGTCTTCCTCTAGCATTCTCTAGCGGCTCTGCTCCCATATCTGGAACATGACATTACAGGTCAGTTTTCTCTGTTTATCTACATTTAGGGCAAGAATGTCATATGCATCTATGAGGTACTGGTGAAGGACTACTACATTTTCTACAGCGAATGGACTTTGAGAGACAAGTCTATGTGAGAGAGCTCATAAGTGAGGGTCTCAGGGAACCGACTTCTTGCAAGTCTCTACTACCAGACCTCAGCGGAATATGCAGCAGTCACAGACTTGAACTGGGGATGAGGGTTCTCCGCAGTTTACAACATCTGAAGCCCAAAAAGATCAACTGAGCATTTACTTTTTGGTGGTGAGGGCTAATGTGACTTTCAGAGACTAGACTACTTAGGCTAGAGTTTCCACCCAAAACAAGTCATGAAATGCTGTCTAGTGTCCACTTATGGGTGAGTACATACCATGCTTGTCTTTCTGGGTCTGGGTTACCTTACTCAGAATGACTTTTTTCTAGTTCCATCCATTTGCCTGCAAATTTCATGATGTCATTGCCTTTTACAGCTTGTTGTGCCCAAATTCTGAAACCCCAGTTGATTGGTCAACTGGTTGTTATGACCTATAGGCCCTCCCAGAGTGGTTGCTATGCTCTGCACATCACTGTTGTGCACTTATACGTAAAACACACCCAGGGTTATAAAGCACAGCCTCACCAGCTAAGTTCTGATTGGTTCCTCCTTGCCACGAGGACGGTATCTGACCTCCTAGTGAGTAGGACAGGAGGGGCAAGGTCTGACAGATTTTTCTGAGGGAGTAACATTTGCATCTGCTGTTATATTGTCCCCCATGCAAGGGAGTTTCCTTTTGACTTAGCATCTCAACCGGGGAAAAGGAGTGATGTATTTTTCCCTGTGCTTCTTCCTGCTGACTCTGAAGTGCTGTCAGGGACCCAAGAAGGCTGAAATGCTAGTCAAAAGCAAAAAAAGGAATTCAGGCAATGGGTATCTGTCAGAAGCAGTTGGTTAGCAGACTCTGTTGAAGAGACCGGGGGTGTCCACATTGGCTGGACTGGTTTACATCCACAAGTCCAGGGCTTGCAGTCTTTAGTAGCTGGCTATAGTCAACATCTGATGCTCAAATTTGTCAGCCAGAAGCAGAAATCTGTTTAAGACATGTTTAAACTGGGAACAGAAGTTAAAACTTATGTATTTAATTGGAACTCTTTAGACCTATAGTTTTAGTGATCAGGGAGGGCAGAAGTCCCAAGACCAGGGGAGAAAATCCCATCCTCAGGAACAGACAGGTGGGATAACAGGCTGTACTTATCCAGAGTCCTTTTGACCTGTGAGATGTGGATCCAAGATTTATGACTTTTGATTCTCTGAAGCCTATATGAACTTTATTATACAAAAGGACATGACAGTTTTAGATATATTAGCATTATCAATCTGTACTGAAATCCATATTGCAGAAAAAGCAGATATTGGGTATCTGTCAAACAGCAGGAAGACTCATACCTTTGAGTCCTAGTGAAAACTACAGATTTGGGCTAGAAGCATGAACATTTTTCTTCTATAATAAATCTAAAGACCTTGAGCTTCTGGCTGAACAGCAGGTAGTCATTGCTCTGTCAGTTTATCAGAACTTTATTAAGTGTTAAGTTCTGAACTTTTATATCTTTAAAACTCCTATACTCTTAAATCCTCATTTGAGGACCCATATTAAGGCTTGACTTTTACATATATAAAATGAGCTATCAAGCTGACTATAGTCTTGTGGATTTGACTGCCTAATGCTGTCAAGCTGACAACCAGTAATACTTTCAGAGATCTGAGAAGGATAATTTCTTTACAGTTTCTGAAACTATTAAAAAGTGACAGGGACCAGTCCATATACAGTTAGCCATAACCAAGTCTCCATTAGTGTTGGAGGCAGAAGTATCAAAGAATAGCATCAATCTTCCCCAGGCCTATAAGGTGAGAGTTTTCTTTCTCTCTGTAGAAGAGGGGAACATGGAAAAGACTGACCTTGTTATGCCTAGGAAAAGGGGATGCGATCAATTTTCCAGTGTCCAGCAGCTTTGTCCACAGTCTGGGTCAGGTCCTGGTAGCTGGTGGCACATTCCAGCATCTTGCTCACTGGTCAGCGTTGTCATAATCCAGGTGCAGTATTTTTAACACCTTACATAAAACTAGGACTTTACACTGTCAGGTTTACCTTTAGAAATAATGATTTTAAATTGAAGCTCTTTAAGTACAAACATTAACAATAAGAACATTTTAAAAGCACAAATATCTCATAACCTTATACTTTTAAATATTTTAAAAACGTTCTTAAAAAGAAATTTAAAATCCCTTAATATCTTTTTGTAGTATTAAAAATAAAATACGCTTTATGTTTTTAAAACCATTATCACCGAGCCGGGTGGTGGTGGCACATGCCTTTAATCCCAGCACTCGGGAGGCAGAGGCAGGCGGATCTCTGTGAGTTCGAGGCCAGGCTGGACCGACAGCCTCCAAAACAATACAGAGAAACCCTGTCTCGTAAAACCAAAAAAAAAAAACCCATTATCACCTGGGTGATTATTACACTACAAAGTTTAGCATTCCTGTGTATAGAAGCATTAATATTTTAAATGTTATATTTTAAAAACCCTTGTTTTTAGGATAGTACATGAATCATCATATTAAAGTTTATCTTACTTTAAACTCTCTTGTATGCCTATTGTTAGCTCTTAATTTCTGAGGTCTGAGGTCTGAGGTCTGAGGTCTGAGGTCTGAGGTCTGAGGTCTGAGGTCTGAGGTCTGAGGTCTGAGGTCTGAGGTCTGAGGTCTGAGGTCTAAGATCAAACTTCTCGAGACTTGCTACCGAGACATCATAAACCCAGTTTGATCAGGCAGGAGTGTCTACTTCAGGAGGAGGCCTCAAGTCCAAAAGCCAGGACATTTGGCAAATCCTTCCTTTCTTTTCCTACAGTGCTTCCCATACTCTGGTCTTCATGTGGCTTCATGTCCCAACAAGCACACCCACCAAGGAGGCCTAGTGGACTGTCTGGTATAAACAGCCCAGTATGGTGCTTAGGGTCTACCCTGGCTAGATTTCTGTCACCATGACCAAAGCTAGCGTCATCAGAGAGGAGGGCACCGCAAATGAGATAATACCTGTCTAAGATCAGGCTGCATGCTAGCCTGTAGTGAAACTTCTTAGAGATTGATATGGAGGATTCAGTCCGGTAGGGTGGGCTGACTCCTGTGCTGGTGTAGAAAAAGGGAGGTTGAGCAAGTCACAAGGAGCAAGTCAGTGAGGCGTATCCTCCATGGCCTCTGCATCAGCTCCTGCCTCCAGGTTCCTGCCTTGCTTAAAGTCCTGCCTTGACATCGTTCATGATGAACAGTGATGTTGGAGTGTAAGCTGAATAAACCCTTCCCTCTGCAAGTTGCTTTTGGCAATTATTTTTTTGTCTTTTTCCCCTGAGGCAAGGTTTTTCTCTGTACCCCTGGCTGTTCCGGAACTAGTGATCTGCCTGCCTCAGCTTCTCGAGTGCTGGGATTAAATGTGTCTGCCATTGCCACCAAGTGGGTACGGCATTTATCACAGCCATAGAAACTCCAACTAAGACTTTGATTGCCTAATTGTAGAAAGGAAGTTCTATAATCAGCATTTGTCCCCAGCAGTAGAGGGAGGACCCCTCACTTCCATTCTTATTCAGGTCATAGCTGCCTTCCAGTGCTGCAAATTGTGAGCAAGATCTGCCATCAACACATGAGAATACCCTTCTTGGGAACTTTTCTCCCTGGATCACACTACACCAAGAAGTACTCTCCCAGACCCTCTTGTCCTAGACCCTCACTGCCCACTGGACCACACTCCAGCTAGAGCCCTCTTTCCGTCTCCGCTTCCACCTGAATCCAAGTAAAGCATTGACCTATCATTCTAAACTCGCATGTGGATGTGATGTCTCCTGTTACCTGCCAGAAGCTCTAACTTAGTGTTGGGGAGCTGTGGGATTCAGCAGGTACTGGACCAAAGAGCATAGAATCCTTCAGTCCTGTAGAAGTTTGCTTGATGAGCTACCCCTCCCCACCCCCGCATGGCTTCTTAAGATATCTGATAAGAAAGCAGAAAAATTTCGGAGGCTACTGGGTTGGGCAGTGTCACAGCTTCAAATGCGTCCAGGTTACCATAAGGATCTTGTTACAGTGGGAAACTCTGTGGAATCCAGGGACCCAGCAGCATGTGACCCGGGGGCAGCAGTATTGGTGGAGGGAGGAGGATTTCTAGTTCCTCCATCATCACCCTTCAAGCAGGGCAGAGCTGGATATAGTTTCTCTTGTTATTTTTATTCATCTTTGACCTCCCTTTAGTTTCTATAGGGTTCAAGGTGTGTGCTGACAGTGCCTCATATGGACATGGGGGCTACTGAGTGGCCCTGTACATTGAATGATAAAGGCTGATCTAGAAACTGCCTGTCTTAATGGGACCTGGATTCCTGATCGTGAGTAAGCAGCACCATCCTTCTCTGAGAACATGTTGATTGATTCCAAATGAGCATAGCATTAACTATTTAGCTGGACCCTCTTTTATGTTTTCCTCTCCTTGCCCCCCTCTGCCTGGACCTGGTTGTAGTTGTAGGCAATAGGTCATCCTGAAACAGAATCACCCTTTAAGTGTCTGGAGGATCCTGAGGTGGTCTGGACATAGTGGAGATGACAGGTAACTAGAACCTTACCAAGTAGTTAGGCACGGTGTGTGTTCCTGTTCTATACATACAAAGAAAATTATGTGAAGGTCAAAGACTTCTGTGAATTGTATAAGAAAATCAGTCAAAGTGTTTCCTGCAAATGTCATAATTTCATTCTTCTCTTCAGCCAACTAGCATACTGTGGTCCATGAACACCACATCTTTACCCATTCATATGGGTATGGCTGCATAGCTTGTGATCAGGACTGCAATAAACAAGTGTATGTGACTGTCTCTGTGTTGGTCTATCTAGACTTCTTCAGGTTAGCATACTCAGAGGTGGTATGTCTGGGTCATATGCTAACTATGCTTCAATTTTTGAAGAAATTCCATATTTCAAAAATGTTTGTTTTTACTATTTTTTTTGTCTTAGGCTTATCTATATTTTTGCATGATAAGCATACTTTCCCCTTGCTTCTCTCTTCCCAGTTTCTCCCCATTACCTCCACTC